AGGGGTACTGTTAATCTGACAATGACTATCCACAACAACAGCTCACTAAAACATTTAAAGTGCGCGCCTTTTTTATTTGTTATTAACTAATCATGCTGGAGGGCGCGCATATCAGCCGCATTCGAGTCGAGCATCTATTACCTTATGTATATCTGTTATCTATGGACATGAAGTATGTTATTGGTAAAATAAAATGAGTTATGGTTTAGTGCCCAGTAAAAGTACGGTGTATATATCTAATCTACCGTACGAATTGAAAAACAATGATCTTCATAAAATATTTGAAAAATATGGTCGACTAGTAAGGTTTGCGTCTAATAAATTTTTTCACCATGACCATAATTAGGTCCATATTTTATTATGTTTACAGAGTGACTGTGTTAAAAGATCGAACAAGCAAGAAAAGTAGAGGCGTTGCATTTCTCTTGTACTTATGTAGAGAAGACGCCAAAAAGTGTGTAGAAAATACTCACATGAAGGAAGTAAGTATATTGTAAATGTGTAACAATTCTGTTAACTGCCAGAAATTTTTGTAGTTATTTGGAAGAACATTAAAAGCAAGCATTGCGAATGATAATGGTAGGAGTACTGAGTTTATTCGGAAAAGGGTAAATATTTTAATTAAGTGGAAATATTCTGTTTGTGTAAATGTAGTATGCATTAGTTATAAAGATAGTGAAATTATTTACCTGCTGACTATTTTATACTGAAGGTAAAACCAGGAATTTAATGATACTTATGATAAAATCTAGTTGCAGCAAGTTTTTTGTAGTTTTCAAAGAGTGGCTTATTATTACAAAAGCAGCTGTTGCAAGTAAAAGTTGGAAAGTCACCACACTTTCTTCTCATAAACTGTTACATTTCATTTAAAAACTAACCTGTAAATTAATATGAAAAATAATAAAAATAGGCTGAGAGATTCATGGTGCATTTGTATAAATGATAGACAGTTATATTCATAGTGTTAGTATTGTATGATGTGCTAACTGGCATATCTATTTTACTAGATTTACTAGCTGTTTACTGTTTGTTTTTTGGACAATTTACTAATTTATTTTTATTTTTATTTATTTAACCAGCAAATACAAAATACATAGATTATAAAGTATCCATGTACCCCCACAGAGATAAATACTATAATCTGTTGGTGGGACTGATAAAAGAACAATATAATAACTTAAAACTAAATTAAATCTAAATTAATATTTTGCATGTAGACTTTAAAATTAGTAACAAAGGTAAATGTACTATTTGTATCAACATTGAAATGCGAAGCCACAATCATTAGACTATCAAGTATTACAAATAGAATCAATAGATTATATGTTTTTAAACTATTAGGTAGTTTATTGAAGACTTTTATAGAGTTATAATAGCTACACTTATTACTAACAGCCTTTTTTCTAGTTGGCAATTGTATACTTTTATGCCTAGTTTTACTGGCAGATGTCTCATACATAGTTTTGAGACTGTCGTAATGATACAACACAGATTCCAACGAAAAAATCTGAGTAAGGCTCAGAGGATTTTTTTCAGTTATAACATTATTTCTATTCTAATAACACTGGTATATTTGGTACTAATGATTTCTATAGGATGAGAGTTTGTAGCCCATACCAGAACCTTTACATTAGATTGGTATTCGAACAAAAAACTTAGTTTCGAAAATTCCACCATTGCGAACATAAATTATAAAAATCATAACTCATAGATCAGATAGAGCCGTACTACAAATACCAACCACAAAATGTATTAGAAAACCACGTAACCAAGCTTTATTGGGATAGAGACATAATTACAGACAAAACAGTTAATCATAACTGACCTGATATGACACTGACCATCAAAGAAACTAAAACAACCTATCTAATAGATGTTGCTGTATCAAACACTGAAAATCTTAAACATAAACATTGAGAAAATTCAAAAATATATTCCTTTGGCAGATGAAATAAAAGAAATGTGGAATCAGAACACAGTTTGAATTATTCCAATAATAATATCATCAATAGGCGGTTATACCTAAAACATTACACGCTGGCCTCTCTGAGTTGAAACTGCATAAGCTTACGTACATAAGTCTACAGAAATCAGTAATTCTTGACATGCGGAATAGTGCGCAGATGTTAGCTGTATAAAATTAAGGTACAGAAAATGGTTTCAATATCATTTTGCAAAAGATGTGAGTGAGGTTCTTTGGCATTAGCCCGTCTTCACTTGCTCAAAGTTACCAGTGTAAACTGAAAAGACCAGGGAAATAATAATAATAGTCTTTATTTCCGTTGATGTACAAGTTTTACGTATAGGATGCGTTAAGATACATAGGAATAATGGTATAAAAATATAATGTAGAGTATAAAATATAACAATATACAAATTATAAAAGTAGTAATTGCAATAATGAAAGTCTTATTCTAATTACGATTATTGTGGTCTTACAATTCTCTTAGGTCATAGAAACATTTCTCCATAAGCCATTGCTTTAGGGATTGCCTGAATTTTCTTGTGTTTTGTGTTTTAATTGCATTTGGTAGTTTATTATATATGATTATTCCCATTTCCCTCAATAGTTTCTTTGACAAGTTGAGTTTTTTATTGTGCATGTCTTGTTTACTCCTTGTGTTATAGTTATGCATATCACTATTTTTTGGTATTGTGCTTTGGTTTTATGAATTGTACTCATCTCCAAGATGTATTGACCTGTTAGAGTTAGTATATTCAGTTTCCGAAACAGGTCCTTGCACGGAGTCTTTTGATTTACTCCAAGCATGCATCGTAGGATTCTTTTTTGTACTTTGTACCATTACAGAGGATCCTCAGTAACAGTGTACTTGCGCGCAATACTCACAAAGTAACTGTTTTGTCGTAAATATCTGCTTAAGGGTTCTAATGAGGTAGCAAGTGACAATTTTGAGATTAGGTTTTGGTAGTGGATTTTCCAGGTAAATGTTGGATCAATGGTAACACATGTATAGTTGTTGCGCTAATCTTTCTTTATTGTTACCGATGTTAATATTCAGTTGTGTTACATTTCTGCTTTGAGTAGTATGGAATGTCATATAATTTGTTTTACTATTGTTTAAATGTAGGGAGTTGCACTTAAGCCAATCGTTTACCTCATGGAGTATCTCCTTGCATACTTGTCCGAGTGTATATCATTTCTGTGTGACACAATTAAGGAAGTGTCGGCGTATAGGGTTGCAGATACTTTACCTTTTAGGCAGCTCTCAAAATCACTTACGAACAGCAGGATTAAGATAGGACCTAGTACAGACCCCTGTGGTACGCCTATGCCTGTTATTACTTCTTTGGATTTATATTTTATTGTCCCATTCGAGTCTCTTTGTGTGACTACTACCGATTGTCTTCTTTCTGTTATGAATAATTGTATCCACTGTTTTGCGATACCTCTGATTCCTAATTTTTCAATTTTGTATAACAGCTTGTCATGCTTCACGCAACCAAAGGCGCGGCTGAAATCACAGAATATTCCTATTGGGCGCTCGTTATTTTCCGGTGGTCTACTAACTCAGTCACAAATTTATTTATTGCCATTTCAGTAAATTTTTTTGCTTGAAAACCGTATTGAATTTTGTTGTATATTTGGTGTTTCTAGTCGATGTAGATAGCGATATTCAAAGATTTTACTGAAGCTTTGTGATAGTGTGATAGGTCTGTAGTTCACCATATTTGTTCTATCAGATTTTTTAAAAATTGGAATCACCTTGCTGATCTTTAATTTGTCTGGGAATTTTCCTGTTAGGAATGATAGATTTACAATGTGGCATATTGGTTCCTTGATGTCGTCTATGACCTGTCTAATTAGCCATGGAGGAATTTCATCTGGGCCGGTTGATCTTTTGTTCTTTATTTTTCTTTAAGTAATTGAAGGAGTTCATCCTCTATGAAGGGACTTAAAAATAGACTTGTTTGATTTTTCTTGCATTCATTGTATCGATATTTATTGTTTAAAGTGTTACTTATTTGTTTAGGTTCTTCAATAAAGTATGTTGCAAAGTTGTCTGCCACGTCTTTTGCATCTCTGATAAGGGTTCGGTTTTTTTTTATTGTTATGTTATGTTGTTTTGGTTTTTGATTATTGCTCATTAGTTTAGAAATATTCCACATTTCTTTAGATTTGTCACTAAAGTTCTCAATTCTGTTCTGTTAGTAAGTTTATTTTGTATTTTTTAATAGCTTTACATGTCTATTTTTAGCGTCTTTGTATTCTTCTTGTGAAATCCAGTTTGTGGTCCGCAATCTGTGCATTTCCTTAAGGTGTTGGCTTGCAATTCTGATTTCTTCTGTCATCTAAGACTTACTGGTCTTCATACTGTGTTTACTTTTCCTTGGGAAGTGTATATTAAAGAAATACAGAAATACATTATAAAATTCATTGAAGGCGGTATCTACTTTTTCATTGTTGTATATATAGGACTAATCATGCATTTGCAGTTGCTCTTTAAAGTTCTGAATATTACTGATGCTGAAGTTTCTCACAATAATTGTTTCATTGTTGTTGTTGTGTATACCTAACTTAGCCATCACCGTCCTCTGGTCAGAAATGATATTATCAAGGACTTTGTACAATGTATTGTGATGTTAGAGAACACTAAATCTAGAATATTTCCACCTTGACCATCTGGGATAAGTTGTAGCTTATTAGCTCATCATGTAATGTATTATGTTTATTTTCCTGATTTATTTTACCTAGATTGTAGTCTCCTGTTAAATTAGATTTAGTTTTGGTGTATATAAGTGATTCATGATATTACGTAAGCTTCTAATGAATATGTTGAAGTTGTTAACTGATGAATAGGGGGGCCTATAACATGTTAGTACAATTAGTTTTTGCTCGGGGTTGGGTCGCCACTCTACCCCGCATATTTCTGTTATCTGATCAACACAATATTTTTCCAGTTTTATGGGTGTTGTCTGGATATTTTCATCATGCCAAATTGTCACTCCTGCTTTTTTAGTAGACCTGGAGTAGTATGAGCTTATTTTGTATTTAGGAATGCAATATTCCTTATCCTGTGATCGTGTCTCTGTAAAGCATAAAAACTTCAGATGAGAATTTTGTAAGTATTCACAGGTGATAATGTTCACTTTATTTTGATTTTTAGGATTGACAATTACGTAGTAACAGATCGTTACTTTCCTCTAGCTAGATTGATTGTGACATTGTATGAAGCATAATATACAGGATACTTTGACATGCTTTCCTGTTCTACTATGACTTCCGAAAATTTCATCTACATATTCTTCCAGTTCTTTACTAATGGTCGTTGGAAACCTTTTTTAGCAATAGTTTTCAGTGCCCCAATTTCTGCTTCACCTACCACTTCTTGCTTAGTTTTGTTTACTTTATTTTTTGTTGTTTTTTCACTACTTCTGACCAAGAGTTTTCGTTCGTTTAGTCTTCGTGTTCTTTTATGAATTCCACGATGGTTTTTATTTCTTTGTTTATATTTATTGTTAATTACAAATACAATATTTATTCACGAAACACCATTTTTCTTGCAACAATACAAATTCAAATCACAACATATCTTATTCGCAGACAAAATTCAAGTGTGTCTTCGTCAGGACATTGATACAATCATAC